CCTACATGCTTGCGGAAGGCCACCCCACATTAGCAAAAAAAAAAAAAAAAAAAACCTCTCCAAAAAGAACAAAAAAAAAGTCTCATCATCATAAGGAGTTTGAAGTAGAGTGGTTGCCAGTCCTAATGAGAATGGTCCACAATTAGAAGTCTCACAGCTCACCAGACTTGGGGCTCAAAGTTTTCCTCTACCAACAACTGGTTCTATTACAGTGAGAACTCTACTTTTTCTCATGGAGTAAAACAGAGATTATAGGAAACAAAACAACCACCACTTTCTCTGCCTACCCTATAAGATTAGGGAGGGGTTTTTATTTTTCTCCCCACAGAGTGTTTATGACACGGAGATTTTTATGCTACATGCACCTTTAAAAAAAAATGCTGGAGGGACCAGCAGGTGGCGTAATGGCTATGTCACTGAATTCCCATGTAGTCAACCACAGTTCGAGTCCTGGACCAGATGGCTTAAACTCATGCTGGCTGCTTGTGCATGCATGCCCAAGATCCTGAGAGAATGGGGGAGAAGGGATTGTGGCATGTCCATCCCCCCTGGGGGGTGATTTCTCGCTTTCTGTCTCTCTGTCTCTCTTTCTGGCAAGCACATGAGTCCTATAGCAAAAACCTTTAAAAAAAAATAAAAAGAAAATGCTGTTGGGTATCGTTGGTAATGGAAGCTATTGGCATTGTCTTCACCTGTAACTGTTCTGAGAAGCACCTTTCAGCTCCATCCACCAAATCCTGGCTTAAACTCTAAACATAAATTTGGGTGAGGTATATGAATATCTGGGTTAAGGGCCCATCTCTGGAAACACAGCTTGTACATACATGATCTCCAATTCCTTTTTCTAGTAATTGACTTCTTTGTCAAGGTGGGGCATGGGTAAATTTGACTACCCTTTTCCTGGGAATGCAAACTAGGAATAGGCAAATGAGAAAATAAATGTTTAAAAAAAAAAAAAATTGGGGGCCAACAGGTGGCGTGGTGGTTAAGGTACTGGACTCCCACATGGTTGACCATGGTTCGAGTCCCAGACCGGCAGCATGAATTCTCTCTCTCTCTCTCTCTCTCTCTCTCCCTCTCTCTCCCTCTCTCTCTGCTGCCTCTTTTTCTCTCACTCACTTGATCTC